ATATATTTAAGTTATATAGAAAGAAAAATAGTAAATAAAACTGAGGTAGTCTTTTTTTAGAATGCTTGAAGATTTTTCCAGAAGAGAAGGAATTTGAATACAATATTGGAGTAATAGAGGGATTATGCTTGGTGAATAGATGTTTGCTTCATGCCTATATACTCTCTGAGAGTTGTCACCAAGTTGGAAAAGGGAGACTAGTACAAGAGACAGGCATAGCAAGGAAGGAGGAAAAGGACGGTTAAGTTTTATTTGGAAAAGTAGGGTGTTAAAGCTAAATGTTATTGGGAAAGTGAAAGCAAGGAGATTAAGAGAACCTAATAAAGTGGCTAAGCTGTTAAAAGAAAGCTTTAGAACAGAGTAGATAAGTAAGACAAAGCAGAGGCATGATTTTTCAGAATGGTAAAATACTGCTGTGTATTTAACTTAAATGTAAGTAATAAAGTCAAAATTCAGAAGTGAATTTGATATGAATCTGGATTGACTCCTAGAAGTACTACCTAAAAGTTTTGGTGTTATCATGAATTCTAGTGTGAGCTTTCTAGTTTTTGTGGACTTTCCTTTAGGGGTATGGCATTTTATCTCATTAGTATTTGATTTAGAACCTAAATGTTGTTTGCAGATTTTTATTTGCTGTTTATAGCAACAAAATGTCAAAATGAAAATAATCATCTTCTTATTCTTTTTTTCTTGCAGATTCTGAAGTGTCAAGTCCTTTCACACCAGTGGCTGATGAGGACAGTGTAGTTTTCAGTAAACTAACTTATTTAGGCTGTGCCTCAGTAAATGCTCCTAGGAGTGAAGTGGAAGCTTTGAGGATGATGTCCATCTTAAGAAGCCAGTGTCAGATTTCACTAGATGTAACCCTCTCAGTGCCTAATGTATCTGAAGGAACTGTGAGGTGAGACATGGCCTTAAAACTCTTTGTCGTATTCATATCAGTTCTCTGATATTTTGTTTTATAAACAAGCAATAGTGAATAAAATACATTATTTTATTCATATAGTGTTTAATTTATTTGGCACCAACATTAAATTTTCCAAAGATTACGATCTTCATGAAAAATGGACACTCATTTGTATCAGTTTGTATACTATCTCCATCCCAATCCTGTGTAGTACATTAGTGAAGTGAATTAAATAAGCTTTAAGAATATATTGACCATCAGAGTTTTCTTAACAAATTAATATATGTTTTCCTTGTCCCCCCAGGAAAGATACTAGTTTGACACATTGTTTCAAAATGGAATTTCATACTGATTTTGGAAATTAGAAAAAAATCCGTTGGTAAATATTAGCTATTAGCTATTCCGGTATAGCCCGTTCTTTTTTTTTCCTTGCAGTACAGGCCTTCAACATGGGGTGCTCTATCACTGTACTACATTCCCAGCCCTTTTTTATTTTTTATTTTGGGTAGGGTCTTGCTAACTTGCCCACACTGGTCTCAAACTTGTGATTCTTCTGCCTCAGCTCCTTAATTGCTGGGATTACAGAAGTGTGCTACTATATCAGGAAGTTTTTGTCTTTTAATGAGAAAAAGCACTAATAATAACAATAACTAACAGTAATTTCTGTTGGGCACATAAATGCTTTATAAATAATTTCCTTAATTCTCAGATATAGATTTATTGGGTCATTTTTATTGCTTTTGATATATTGCCAAATAGTTATCTAGAAATATTGATCCGGTTTATACTTCTGTAAGCAGTGAATTTGTGTCTCAGTACTTCAGAGGCATTTGGGGTTTTAATGGTAAAAGAATATAGCTTAATGTGGATAGTAGTCAGTCTGCATAATTTTCTCTGTGAGTAAAGAACAATTGCACAAAGATTCACAAATTCTAATTTTGTATTTGTTAAAAGAAGCTACTGATAAATATTTGTCTTGCAAATGCCAGCTGAAGCTTTATACTTTAATATTTTTTAATTCTATAAAAGCAATGAGAAAACTAATCTGACTTGTCTCACATTTTCAGAGCTTTCATGAAAGTTCCTTCAAACTTGGGTTAGATCCCCTTTCCTTTATGAACAGGGCCCTCTGTGGCCCTGCAGTGTTGACATTATATAATTCCCCCT